CAGCAAGCTGCTCCACACAGGGTCATTCAAGGGGACCTGGCACACTCAGCACCCTCAGCCTGGGCTGGCCTGGGGTCTCAGCACCCCTTTTCCCTGGGGCTGGCCCCAAGGGCCAGAGTTTCTGGAAAGCCTCCCCCAACTCAGAATGCTGTTGGGACTGTGTCCCCAGGCAAGGGGACACAGGAATCCCCAATAAGAGGTTCCCAGCCTACTGAGGCCAGTGCGGCTTCTCCCTAGCTGTCTCGCCTAGGGGTTCACCTGGTGTGTGTGCCTTCGGTCCACAGCCCCTTGCAGTGTTGTGGGGAGAGGATGTGGTCTGTAGCAGGAAGAGCCAGGACGCACTATGGTCAGGAGTGCCTGATGACAAAACCCTGTCATGCCCATCATTCATGCAGGAGAGGACAGGTGTGGCCGGGAGGCAGCAACTGGGAGCAAGTGGAGCACACACAGCTGGCCCTCCCTCGCAGTCTGCCTGCAGGGATTGGGAAGATGCCTTCCACCCACTGCCCTGGAGAGCCTCAGCCTCAATCCCTGGGTGCCCCTTTGTCCAGCAAGGAGCTAGCCTTTGGCTGGAGCCCAGCCCACTCCTGTCTGGTCCAATGAAAAACACACTTACCTGTCCAAGCCCAAAGAATGGACTAAGAGACATGAGGGCAGCAGAAGCAAGGTTTTCCTTCAATGATGGTCTTGCAAGATCAGGTGCCTGGTGGTCAGGACCCTCAGATTGGATACAACCAGTGTTTTATCCTCATTGGCTGAGTACCTAGGGGTACACAGTCTTCCGGAACATCACTTAGGTTTTACTGCCTCCTGCTGGGTTATTGAAGAAAGGTATCTTTTTTTTTTTTTTTTAGAGAGAGAGAGAGAATTTCAATATTTATTTTTCAGTTTTCGGCAGACACAACATCTTTGTTTGTATGTGGTGCTGAGGATCGAACCCGGGCCGCATGCATGCCAGGCGAGCGCGCTACCGCTTGAGCCACATCCCCAGCCCGAAGAAAGGTAACTTTAGTTGTCCCCACCTCCCTGTATTCTCTCAGCAGGAAAGTCCCCCTGGGTTGAGCTGGTGCCAGGTGGCTGGAGACTAAAATACTCAGGGGTCACTCCAGGGGAACTGGGGTGATTGGGCTGCACGAAATAACCACACAAGAAACAATACCTTTTTCTTTGGGGGTGCTGTGACTCCTCTGACCTTAAGCTTCCGCAGAAAGAGCGCGCACTGACGCCTCTTATTGAGGAGAAACTATTCAAATGAGGCAAGGGCTCATGTTTCAGGGGGCTGAGTCTATCTTTGTGATGTCTGCTGTCAGCAGGTTGATTGACATCAAGGTAGGCTGCCGCAGTCCGGCTGCAGCAAAATAACCGGGGGGTGACGAACAACTTGTGTACCTTGATACAGCAGGAGAGGGAGCCGTTTATTGCAGGACAGGAGCAGTATTTATACATTCCACACAGCTTATCTAATTAGCATAAACTAGATACATCAGTCAACCAATAAGGAATCTCCACACTTAATGGCTCGCTTTTGTTACTTCTCAAACCACTCCCTCTGGCATTTTGCCAGGCACCATCCAGACTTGTTTACGAACTCTAACATTCCCCTGGCAAAATGCCAGGTGTTATTTTGACTTGTTTACAGACTCTAACAGTAGGCCACACCCAAGGGCAGAGTAAGAGAAGGGGACACACACAAGGCATTTCCATGGAACATTCTATCCCAAACAGAGCAAGGGTAATATTACAAAGGAACAGGTGAGCGTAGCTTCACCCATGGGGATGCAGGAAGGCACGCCCATGCACGAAGACACAGTGGCTCGCACCCTAGAAGACGGGGCTGTCCAGCAGCATGACTGCCAGATGCCACACCGCTCAGCAGGGGAGATAGACCCAGTCACGTCTAGTTCAGCCCCCCACAAGCTGGCACATGCACAGTTCCTCTCTGTTGCTTGGGTCCCTTCCTCTCCCCTCCTGTGTGTCCAGGACTGTGACTCTTACACTCAGCATTACCTGCACGTAGCTTTCTATTCTGCCGTCCTCTCCAGCTGCTTTTCCTACACCCCAAGGCATTTTACATTTAAAGCTAGAGACTGTATTTTGAAAACAAACCACCAGACTTTCCATTTCTCACAGGCCTGGCCCTTGGGAAAGGAGCTGCCCCCACTCAGTTGAGCCCGTGCCAGAGCCATGGATTCGTCTCTAGGCCATGGCACCCCAAGCCAATTGGTCTGCAAGAGCTCTCATGCCCAGTGGTGACTGCCCAGTTCCCGGTCTCCCTGAGTATCCATTTTCTAATTTCACTCAGTTCCCACACCAACGCCAGCAGGCCCTCTGGGACCCTGCGGTGGAGGCTCCCCAGGACACCCACCTGGCCATATCAGGGCCTGTCTCCAGCCTCCCCGCCTGGTGGTGGCAGCCTCCCTGATACTGGCAAGTCCTTCAACTTCTTATCTGGGCCCTAGTGGCCAGGGTGCTCTCTTCTGCAGTACTCATACTAAAACCCTTGGGGTAGCCCAGCATAGGAAAAAAGATCTGTTTATTTGTTACTCTGTGGCAGCAAAATTGAAAAGGTGATATGTTTTTTAAAAAAAAAAAAATCATCTAAATGGGAGACTCCAAAACCCCTTGGCAATGGGGGAGGCTACAGCCAGTGGCTTTATACTGCACCACACAGGAGCCAGATGTCCCAAGAAAGCCCTGTGAGAATGAGCTGAACTTGTGCTGAGTAGACAGGGCCTCATGAACCGACAGCTCCCCAACTCCTCACCCCCTGCAATTTGCAGAGGCAAAGACCTGAGGCTGGGGTTGCAGTGGGGTGGAGTGGAGCCCAGAGAAGGGGTCATGAGGCTGCAGCTCTGTCGCCAAGCCCAGGCCCTCTCAGACCTGAGAAATAAACCTTTTGCTAACCAGTGTTCTGTGCCAGACCAGGTGTCTGTGCCCCCACCTCCCACCCAGCCATGCAGACCTCTGGGGCCCAGGTTGCTGCTGGGAAAACAGACGCAGGATGACTGAGCCATTTCAGCCACGAAGGAAGCCCAGTGGACCTACAATTCACCTGCTCGTTAGCATGCCGATGTAAAGCATGGCCCTGACCACATTCCCACCCATCTTGGTATGGTCTGCTTTTGACCCCCAGTTGAAACAGGTCCAGAGAAGAATCTGAGGACAGGGACTGGTGCCCTGCAGAGAAATCAGAGACGATTCTTTCCACTAACCCCTGTCTTTCCTCTTTTCACACTTTTTAAGAATACCTTTATTTCATTTGTTTATTTTTTATGTGTTGCTGAGGATAGAACACGGTGCTCTATTCCTGAGCCACAACTCCAGCCTGCCCTCGATCTTAAAGACCCGCATCCTTTGTTTGATTGAGTGATTTCTCCATGATTCTTTCAGTTCTGGCTGAAGAACAAGCCTTCCTCCTCTGCCTAACTGGCTCTCAGTTTGTAGGGGAATAACAGCCAGCTAGGGTCAGAAAGGCGTGACAGTTCTTGTCCCTGCTGTCTGATTCCTGCCCGTGTCTCTCAAAGCGCTGCATCTACTTTCTGAAGTCTTTTGTCTTTCTCAGACATTTAAAAGAGTTTGTGGTGCTCTCTCCTGCAGTACGCATACTAAAATCAGAAGCCTGAGAAGATGAGCATGGAGGAGCAAATTTGCGAAGCGGTCCATTTTTTTTTTAAGTGCTACATATTTTAAGTGGCGTCAATGTTGTTGAAATTCCTTTTATTTAGCCCCACCCCCACCCCACGCATGTACTTTTCTGGGCCTCATGTTTATGATGGGAAGGAGCCCCAAGAGAAGAGGCCACTCAGGGACTTCCCCGTCACCCACCCCTCCGTTCGGGACACTGTCCAGGCCAGACCACGTGGTACTGAGGGGTTGATCACGATGCTGGCCCTTCAGCGCCGTGAGAGCCCCCGGATGCTGCTGGCAGGAAAGGGCCCAGGGCAGACCTGAGTCTGTCTTGGGGAAGGACCCTGAAGTCCCCAGGGACTCGGTGAAGAGCGAGCCAGGGCGGGCTGGCGTTTAGGACACGACACAGTTTCCCACCCCTCCTCCCGTCCAGGCCTCGGTCGGTGGAAGCGGGGGCTCCCAGGCGCGGGTCTGGCCCGCAAGTCTCGCCCACCAGCCCTCGGCCCCGCCCACCGACCGTGGCCCCGCCCCTGCTGCGATCGCGCAGCACTCGGCCCCGCCCAGCCCAGGTCCCAACCGGCGCTGGCTGTCCTCGGCCGCGCACCCCTCCTCTGGACACAGCCCAGGGGTGCCACGGCGTTGCGGGAGGCGTAGCTCGCCCGCTGCGCTGCGCCGACTGCAGTCCCAGCTCCCGCCTCCAGGCGTGAAAACGCTGGTATCCGGAGTGACTAAGGCACCCAGGGCCGTTTGTCACAGGCTGGTGCAGCTTCAGCTCAGGGGTGGAGAGAGGCTGAATGGGCCACTGGGACTGCCGGCAGGGCAGAGGGCAGCATGGTCACCCTCCACCGGACCGGAGCATAGGGAACCAGGCAGGTATAAACCCAGCACGTGGAGCTGTGCTCCCATGGCCACTGGGCCCAGCATGTACCCTGGACACAGAAAGGACAGCATCACAGAGAGAGCAACTAGAGCCATGCCCACAAGCTGGGGAGGCCGGCAGCCAGGGCAGCTGGAAGAGGGTGGGAGGGCTGTGCCCTGCCATGCTTGGGTCTTGGACCAGTGGCAGGCAGAGCTGTGAGGTCACTCTGTGGTCAGTGGCCAGCTTGTGAAATCAGTCACAGCAGCCCCCGGACACCAGCATACTGTTGAAACAGCAGGCAATCTCTCCAGGGTCTTTTTGTTCTCACCCATCCCGGAATTTTCCAGACTGTTTGCAGAATCCCTGCCATCACTCTTAACACCCAGTTCTGGTTGTCCCTGTGGGATCCAAGGGCTCACCCTCCTCAAGGCCTTTGTACCAAGGGACTCCCAGAAGAAAAGCACTTGTAAGGGTCAAATGGAGTCTTTCTTTTCCAAAGGAAGTGAAAAGAGCATGTATTTTTGTGTTTTTATTTCTAAGTGTGTTTCTGTGTGTTTTCCGGGTGTCTCTCACAGTGAAGAGCAGAGACCCACACCTGCCTTACAGAAATGAGAACCTGACTCAACACAGGGGCTCTGTGCAGTTCCCCGGGAAGGAAACTTGAGCGTGCCCCTGGTGCCGGCCCTATGTCCAGGCAGCTCCACCTGCTCGGCTCAGTCTCCTGCTGAGACTCTTGCTGAGGCTAGGATATCAGGCAGGTGGGAGGGTCAGCCCCAACAGTGACCCAGTGAGGTAGGTGTCATTGTTCCCAGTATCCAGATGGGGAAACTGAGTCATCAGCATGGCCTGGCAGAGCTGGGATCCGAGTGGGCCGTGAGTTTCCTCCTGTACTCCAACCTGGTGAGGCGCTAGGCAGTCATCTGCTTGCTCTGTCCCAGCTCCCGACCCCTTCCCCTGTGACAATGAAGTCAGGAAGTCTCAAGGTGAAGGAATTCCAAGCGTCCTCTTGCTCTGTGGCAGCTGTATCTCAGCCTTCCTGGGGTGTCTACCAGCATTTTTGACTGATTGGCCTTCCCAGCATGAGTGTCTGGGGCTCCCTGTGGAAAACACATGGACTACCCTACTGGGCACCAACAACTGGCCACCCTGGCTTCTGACTCCCTTAGGTGACCCCTGGCAGCATGTGTCTGCTCAGCTCAGAACCAAGCCCAGACAAGTGTCCTCAGGGCTGGGCTCCTGCCTCTTGCTGCCGCTGGGCTGTGCCAGTGTCTCGGCACTGTGACGGTGCGGGTGCCCCTTGTTGTGGCTTGTATCGACCTGTGAAGCAGAAGCACGGAAAGCCCCCTGACACACTGCAGCAGTCACCCAGCAATGCCTGCAGCAAAGCACATTCATGAAGCTGTCGTCCAGAGCTCTGCTGCAGCCCTGCGTTGGCTAATGGCTGAGGGAACCCGCACAACAAGCTGGCATCTCCCGCTGCCCATGCCCATGCTCTCTGGCTCTCTGGCTCCCGACAGCCTGGGAGCATCACCCAGTTACACACTGCCACCTTCCAGTCAGGAGACCCTAGGGGGCAGAGGCTCACCAAACGGGTGGCTCCAGCACATGGACACTGTGGCTGATGGGCAGTGTGACCACGTTTCTGGCCCTGGCTTCCCACACCTGTGGTCCTCCCCTGCAGTACAATGGTCTCAGCAGGTCTCCTCGACCAGCCTCTCCGGGGTGTGCGCTGAGCCCCACTTAGCTGGCTGCAGCCCGGGAGGGTTCACAGGCGGGGGGAGCGCACAGTCGTCTGCGAGCGCCATGGGGAAGTGCATCTCCTCTGAGTCCTTGGAATGCGTGAGCTTGGTGACTTCTGTCTTTGCAGACCACTTCTTCCACCCCTTCTGGATTCTGGACACTTCTTGCCGAGAATGGTCTGTGGCCAGCACATAGATGATGGGGTCAGCCACGCTGTTGACCGTGGACAGGCAGAGGAACACCATGGACACCGTGTACAGGCTGGCTTCAAAGGCACACACCGCAACCTTGTCTCCTCTGTAGTAGGAGAAGGTGGCCGCTTTGATGAGGAGAACCACATGGTAGGGGGCGAAGCAGACCAGGAAGATGACCACCACTGCTATGGCCGAGTGCTTCACCTTGGCCTTTTGGGCAGCGGTCAGGCCCATGCTCAGCTTGATGCTCCTGAAGATCCGGTGGTTAGTAAATGCTATGGTGCAGAGAGGGATGGCGAACCCCACTGCAAACCGCGCGTAGTGGTAGCCCGCGATCTTTTCGTTCATCCGCATTGGCTCGAAGCAGCTCTCCTTCTCTATTTCCATGTCAAACACCGGGTAGTAAACAAGCCCCACGAGGACAAAGACACACACAGAAATGAAGATGGCGGTCTTCTGGAGGCGCCGGCCACGGCTCTCCAGTGCATACACGACCGCCAGGAAGCGGTCGCAGGAGATGCAGCACAGTAAGAGGATGCTGATGTAGATGTTGCAGAAGAAGATGTAGGCGGTCACCTTGCAGGCCCTGGGGCCCAGGGTCCAGCGGTGCTCGTTCTGGATGTAGATGACCCAGAGCGGCAACGTGCTCAGGTAGAGCAGCTCACAGAGCGCCAGGCAGAAGAGGTAGACGGCCAGCACGTTGCCCTGCAGAGCCTGCAGTAGCGTCAGCCACGCGGTCAGGCAGTTGGCCGGCAGGCCCAGCACACACACCGTGCTGTACACCACCACCAGGACCACTCTGCTCTCCTCGAAAGACGCGTTGCAGAGCCCGGCAGACAGTCCCGGGACTGTCTGAGAGAGCGGGGTGGTCACTGGGGTGGCATTTCCTGTGGGGCAGAAACAAGAGTGAGATTTGCAGAGCCAAGAGAAAGCAAAAGGCCCACCAGGTGCTTAGACGATTTCCAGAGGGATTATTGAAAGAGATCCTTAGATCCTGGATGTCCAACCCATTGACCTCACAGACAAGAACACAGGCTGTGCAAGATGCACTCTTCGCAACTCATCCAAGTCAGTTTGAATGAGTTGCATGTTTGAAGAGGATGACAGCTGAGCAAGCGCCCTTCTGAGTACCCCATCAACAGTGTCTGGAGTTAGGTGCTCACTGCTTCCCTCCTCCAGCCTCGATCTTGCTCTGGCCCCATCCCCTGCCCTGACTTGGGCACTGTCTCATCCTTACACATAGTTTTATCTCTTCTTTGCCTTTTTGACTCTCAGTTACAAAGAAAGATAACTAACCGTCCCTGTCATGATGATAGATTCATCCACTTCTCCTTTTAGGTCTTTCAAGATTTGCTTTCTATATTTGAAGCTTTTGTTAATTGGTGCCTAGAAATTAAAACTCGTTCTGTTTCTGGTGAGTTGATCCATTGGGCATTATGTCATGATGCTCTTTATCTGTGTGGTAGGCAGAATAATGACCTCCTACAAACATGTCTGTATCCTAATCCCTACTTGTGAATGTGCTAGTTATGGCAGCAGGGGAATAGGTTGCTGATAGAATCAGGATTAATTAGGATCATCTGGCCCAGTGCATCACAGGGAGTTTAGATGTGGGAGAGGGAGAAAGAAAACAGCCATTGTGGCTCTGAAGACAGAGGAAGGGCCTCAGGACAAGGAACATAGCCTCTAAAACCTGGAGAAGCCAAGGACAGGGGCTCTCCCTGTGGCCTCCACAGGGACACAGTGGTGAATCCTTGTAATTTTATGTTGCCTTGGCATCTACTTTGAATGCCAGTCTAAGTTTCTCCTACAGAAGCAGGGCTCATTCACCCTGGACAGAGCTTCAGTTCAAACCCCACCCAAACAGCAGGTCAGGGGTGAGCACCAGGAGCCAGCAGGGCATCTGATAGGACCAGCAAGCCTCCCACGGGGAGCTCTGGTCACAGGTCAGACACCTGGGCCCCGGGCCACCCACTAGGTGAAAGAAGTACCCAGAAAGCACCCTGTGCACATGAGGGCTCCTTCCTGACCCTTGCCAGGGCTGCCGGTGCCCTGGGGCTGGACCCAGGTGGCCGGGCCCTCAGAGCACTCAGCCTCAGCTGGTGGGACCCACTCCAGACTCGAGAAGCCAGAACCCCAAGACCACATGTGTAGTGAAGCCTCTGCATTTATAGCCACTTGCCACATGGGCCTTGGGAAGTCCCAGGGCTCCAGATGCTCCCGGGGACAGCCCTGCTTGCCGCGGCTTCTGGTCCAGCCTGGCCTTCGGAGGCCCCTGAGTTCTGCTTCTTTCTGTTCGTGTTGCAGCACCAGAGACTGAGCTGGGCCCCAACCCTGCTAAGCACATGTCACTAAGCCACACCCCCAGCACAGGACCCTTGAATTCTAGATGTGACACTTACAAAATACTATGGGTGGATTAAAACAACGAATGCTCTTTGCCTCTGAACTCTCGAGGTCAGCCCTTTGCATTTATAATACTCTCTATGTACTTTCTTTCTGAGACAGGGTCTTGCTAGGTCAGGCTGGTCTCCAGCTCCTGGACTTGAGTGGTTTTCCTGCTTCCACCTCCAGGGTTCTTGTCCCGCTTGGACATGGGTGACACCTAGGACCCACGGGTGGGTGCCACCACCCCTAGCTTCCCGTATTAGATCTACCCCTCCACCTTGTTTTGCCCTCCTTGGCAGTTTTCCATTTACTTTTACTCCCCTTTTGCTTTCTGCTCTGGGCTGAATTCTGTCCTCACCAAAAAAGACACTGTGGGGCCCCAACCTCTGGGGCCTCAGAAGGTGACCTTATTTGGAAACAGCATCTTGACTGAGATGAGCATGTGAGAATGGGCCCTGAGGTGTCCTTACAGAAAGGGGAAATTTGGGGCTGGGGCTGGGGCTCAGCGGTAGAGCGCTGGCCTCGCACGTGTGAGGCCCAGGTTCGATCCTCAGCACCACATAGAAATAAATCAATAAAAGGTTTGTGTCCAACTACAACTAAAAATAAATATTAAAGGTGGGGGCGTTGGACACAGGCGAGCACAGAGGAGAGAAGATGAAGACACCCACAGAGAAGAGGGCCCAGGGAGGGGAGGCGGGGCCAGCCCAGGGCCCTCGGGTGTGAGAGGTGAACTGTGAAGTCAAGGCCCCGCAGGGCAGCCGGGCCTCATCTTCTGGAGCCAGTGACTCCACATTGCTCTACTCCCCTCTCCTCGCTTTGCAACTTACTGATTCTCTGGAGGGGTCAGCGATTACCTCGAGGTCTCCAAGGGTGCAGTCACCCCTGAGTGGATCCAGTCTTCACCTCTGGGACCCCTGGCCTGGCCTGTGTTTGACTCATGTCCCCTCATTTCACTTGTATGGTTTTAAAAATGGTGATTTTTAAAAAGTCTGTATAACAACATCCCACTATGGCAACCATCTAGGGCACGCGTCCAGCGAGCTCAGAGTGCTGCCCGGGGTCACCCTGGGGTGGGCTGCTGGCCCGTGACCGCCCGAACCCAGCCAGGCCTGTTGCTGTCCTCCTTCCCCTCAGGCTCTGCCCTGAGATGCGCCCCCTTGCTGTTGTCCAGGTGCTGCTGTAACCAGCTGGCACAGCCCGGGCAGCTTACAGACATCGGGATGTGCCTCTCACCGTGCTGGAGGCTGGGCGCCCCGCAGGGCCAGCAGCCTGCCCTGGGGCTGGTGAGCCTGCTTCCCGCCTCCGCGGTCTTCACTGTGCTGCAGGGGTGAGGGAGCTCCCGGGGCCTGCTGCAGAGGGCACTCACTGACCCCTGGGGACCTAGTGGCCAGGCCCACGCCCTCCTGCCCTCAGCTGGGGGGCGAGGATTTCAGCAGTGTCCGGGCGCTGGAGGGTAGCCTTAGTAATGTTCTTCTCTGTCTCTGCGGCTGGTCTGTTTTGCCGTGCCGGGAGGGCATCTGGGGCTCGCGCTACCACTGGGCCACATGCCGCCCCAGAAGGGCTGCTCACAGGAGCCTTTGGGGGCAACCCCCGCCTTGGTTGTCAGACGTGCCTTCCACACACAGCTCCCTGAGACGGCTTCCCCTGGACCCACCTCAGCTCCCGGCTGGAGGCCTCGCCCCTGAGCCTTGGCTTGGGTGGTGGTTCTTGTCCTGCTTGGACATGGGTGACACCAGAGCATATTTTGACACAAGACTTTTGCCGGTAAATGGATGGATCTGGAGACTATCGTGCTAAGTGAAGTAAGCCAGTCCCCAAAACAAAGACGGAATGTTCTCTGATCTGCAGAGGCTGCCCTGGTCCTGGCCTCTGTGGCTGCTGGGGAGTGGCCCCTGGCTGTTGTGCGGCCTCCTCATCCTGGGCTCTGCACACGCTCACCCTGAGCTCTCTGTCCTTCTGCAGTGCTTCCTGGGTGGCCCACACCCGTAGGGCTAGCCTAGTCATCTTTTTATATCTGTCCAACCTCTGTGTTTAAACTCACTGGAATTCAGAACTGTGCCTTTCACTACTAGAGGCTCCGCGGGGCTCCTGCTCAGGATGCCTGGCATTGCTGGAGGGCGCTCCTGGGGGGAAGGTGTGGTCCTGGGGGGGCTTGCTGCCCCAGTCCCACAACAGCGGCCTGCAGGAGGGTCCTCTGATCTCTCCAGCCCTGGCTCCTCACAGTGGGGGGCCCGTGGGGGTCTTCTCTGCAGGTGCCCCATTTGAGCCCCCAGTCGAGTCCTAGGATCACCTACCATCCTGATCAAGTGGAGAATGAACCACAGGAGGTCAGTTTGCAGCATAAACCAGACTCAGGATGTGCCTCTCACTGTGCTGGAGACTGGGCCCTTGGTCTGGGCCATTGCCGGGGCTCACTGTGACTCCAGAGCAGCACATGGCCTCTGAGGTCAAGAGGATAGAGGCAGGGGTCTGAAGGCCACAGGCCCGTGAAGCTCCTCACAGCCATGCACAGCCACTGCCTGGCCACACCCTCACTGGCCTCTGGCCTCTGGGTCTCCTGTGAGTCCAGCCTCAGCAGTGCTCCTGGATATCCGACCAGCTCAGGTCCTGCCCAGTGTCCTCTTGTGTTCTCGTCCGGGGAGTGGACGGAGCCCAGCCTGGATGCTGGGTGCTTGTGTCTTGGGCCCATGCTGCCTCCTCGGTGCCGCCCTACTCTGCCCTCAACAGGACAGGGTCTCTTCTCCCGTGTCCCTCTCAGCACGTGCTGTTTTCTGATGTTTTCCCCAGAGGTGCTGGGGATGCAGCCCAGGGCCTCACCCTGCTGGGCAAACACTGCACTGAGCTCTGCTCTAGCCCTCTTATTTTCCGTCTTCTGGTAGTGGCTGTCCTGTTGGGTGTGAGGTGTGAGGCAACCCACCCACTGTTCCTCCCACTCTGGCATGTGTCATTGTCCCCAGTCTAGACGGACAAGTTGAGGCAAGTTGAGACTCGGGAGTGCTGAGCTGCCTCAGGGCCCCTAGCAGTCCTCTGCACAGGCCTGTGAGCGGACAGCAGTGAGCAGGGTGCCGGGGCCGCGGGGCCCACAGCTCCCTCCCCTCATGTGAGCACCCTGCCTGTTGTATGAGCCCACAGAGAGGTTGTCCCCCACTTCCGGGCCTCAGATGCCCCTCCCAGCCCCCCCTGCTACCTCCATCCCAGCACCAACGCCTGTTAACCCAGGTGAGGCAGTAGTGAGCCCTGTGGTGGCCCAGGGCCCCTTCATGCTCCAGAGCAGCTCTAGTGCATCCCCCTCCTCCCCTGCACTCCCCCACCACCCAGGGGCTTGGTGAGGCCTGGTCCCGTACCACCTGCTCAGGCCCACGCTCCTGAGGCCTTCACTGAGGGCCAAGTCCCTCCTGCACCTCCCTCCCCCACTGGTGACTGGGCTGGGAGCCTCGGTGCAGGCAGAGGAGCCCCAGAAGGGGAGGCAGCAGGGGCGGAGGGTGCGGCTCACGGTCAGCTCTTCACCACAGTCCCTGACAAGCTCCTCCATGGCCAGCAGGGCTCCCACAGGGCAAGGGCACGTGGGACGGCGGTGTCTCAGGCCTAGTGCTCAGGGGTCCTGGACGTGAGAGCTGCTTCTGTCCCTCACCCCTCTCCTGGCTGTTCCCAGCACTCTCTCGAGGAACTGTGAAGTGGGCACTTGTCAGCTTCCTGGTGGAGCGCCTGTGGGCCTGTGGTCTCTGTCCGCTTTGGTTCAGAAATCTGTCTCTGCACGCTAATTTTTGAACTGTGAGATGAGATGGAGTACGTCGTAGAAAGACTCTCATGGACCCTGAATGTTGAAGTTGAAGGAGGCTCACTCACCTGGCATGTTTGCAGGTTCCAATCTCAGGGTGGCTCTAATGTAAGCCTTCTGGTACACCTTGTGCGTCTTGTTGGTCCTACTGAGAAGTGTACTATTTAAAAGGACCTAGAGAAAGCGCAGGTGGAAATTGCTTTAGGAAAAGCAGATTAAATCATGTGAATTAAGCATGAATTAATTCATTTGAGAAAATGATTAGAGAACATTTATGATGTGCCAACTCTTGAATTCATCCTGTGGGAGGCAATATCAGGTCCTT